CTAGATTTGGGTTTTAATCCTCAACAACCAACAATACATACACACGAATATTATTTTGTAGTTTGTGTGTGTTAGATTTTCTATATATACCTGAAAAATCTGTTTGCCAAATTTTTCCTATAACGAAACACTATATATATGTATATGTAGGGTATATGTATATAATATATATATAAATGGTATTTTGCTCTAAAGATCACTTCCGCTGTTCATTTTTGTCATTGTGTTATGGTGAACAGAATTTTATTGCATTTGCGGAATGTACAAGTGGAGCGATAGGTTAGGTATTCAAATATTGTCCTGGTAATTATATATATACAGTGTATATATTGAACGTGTCCCTTTTTAAGTGACACTTTTAAATGAATACCTGTAATATTCAGTTTTCTCTTCTTGTGGGCGGAGAAAAGGACAAAATTTTAAGCCTCTTGACAAAAATTTTCTAAATATATTTGCGCGATGAGCACACCATAGCAATATATTTAGATTTATAGTAGTTATAACCCCTCATAATATTCATCCTCTTGTAAAAATTACTTTAAGTGGATTATTAACTTCACTTGTTGAACAAACAATTGAGGTTCAACTGATGATGTCCATTCGTTTCAGAAAAATTTATTTAACACAAAAATATATGTCCCTTTTGGCAACAATAACTATATATATATATATGTATATATATATATGTATATATATATATAGTATATACCTTATATATACTATACTTGTATTATAGATACGAATAAGATTATAATGTGCGTTATATACATCCATTGTTAAATGAAACAATACATAAACGTATACACATTTATTTGTTGTCATTCAATTTCTAAACACAATTTTCGAGATAATGCATATATTTGTTTGTGCAATGGTTTAGAATCATAGTTATAGGTGCGTATGAAACGCGCAAAACATGTTCATTATTATCTACTAAACTGCATCATATACCCTAAATATATATATATACCTATTAATTATTCTTATTTTGTATTTTTGAATTTTAAAAATCTCCTATTTTTAAGAAAAAAAATCGCCTTTTTTATACTCGAAAAAAAGTATAATTTTTACTTATAGAAAAGGGGAAAAAAATTACACACAACAAATTTTACCCTAGTTGAGGGCGCCACTGTCTATTGCTGCGCTTTAAAACACCAGCACAGAAAATTAAAAGGCGCATTAAAATAAGCTGCAACGCTTTTTATTTTAATCCAATTTTGCTTATTTTAATTCATTTTGGTGTTAAAATAAGCTGCAACGCTTATTATTTTAATCCAATTTTGCTTATTTTAATCCATTTTGGTGATAAAATAAGCAAAATTGGATTAAAATATAATAAGCGTTGCAGCTTATTTTAATACCTTATAATTTTCTGTGAGCCAAATAAATTATCCGTAACAAAATATAGTACTGTGTTTTAAAAAATATAATACCAATTGAGTATAATTTTTAATATTTTAAAATTAATTTTAATATTTTTGAAGACATTTTTAATTATGTTATTTTCATCTAACCTAAATTTTCAGCTTATATGCTTAATTTTTAAGGTTTAGATGTTTTTTCCCCTTAAATTTTAGAGGATGCATTTTTGATCCCTTCTTTGATCAAATATCTATAATATATAATATCTATCTCACTTTTTGCTTATAAATTAGTAAAATTTTACTAATTGTTAGTAAATAAGTTACTAATAATTAGTAAAATTTTACTAATTCAGAAGCAAAAAGTGAGTCACTAATTCAAATTAGTAAATATTTTTTATACTAATTCAGATTTAGAGAGCTAATCTGTTTTGTTCCAAAAAGCATATAAATTAATATTTAATACCCAAGAAGCACGTAATATAACCTCAATATCAAGGTAATATTACATGTAAGCTTCGTAATATAACGTTGTAATATTACAGTAATCTTACAGTGATCTTAAAATGTCCGCCTCAAGGTAATATTACCGGTAATGTTACTGTAATATTACGCGCTCATATTAAGGTAATATTACAGTAATATTGCAGTAATATTATACCGTAATATTACAAGAGAATATTACAGTACACGGAAAAAAAGAAAAAGTAACTTTTACTACTTTAAAAGTAAAATTGGACCTGTCCGAAGTTTCTGCGCATCTCTGGCAACTTTTACTCCAAAAATAGTAAAATTTACTTCAGAAATAGTAAAAATTACTACGGAAACAGTAAAATTTACTACAGAAATAGTCAATTTTACTATTTTTCGAGTAAAAGTTGCCAGAGATGCGCAGAAACTTCGGACAGGTCCAATTTTACTTTTAAAGTAGTAAAAGTTACTTTATTCGTTTTTCCATTTTTCTCCGTGTAATATTATGGGAACATTTCTTTACGAAAAAAATCTACCCATCCAGGGAATCGAACCCCGAACTCAAAGCACACGAGTCCAGAGTTTTACCAACAAGCCAAATTGACTTATAATATATTTACGTTTTTTATGATTTATGAATAACTCAAATCAGTCTGTAATATTACTGTTAATATTACTGTAATATTGCCGTTAATATTACAGTAATATTCCCGGTAATATTACCTTGAGGCGGACATTTTAAGATCACTGTAAGATTACTGTAATATTACAGCGTTATATTACGAATCTCACATAGGTAATATTACCTTGATATTGAGGATATATTACGTGCTTCTTGGGTAATGTTTTATTACATTGCAAATTTTCAGCGATTTTAATTTTATACGCTATAAATTTTAAATTATTAAAAATTTTAACTGATTTGAATTAGTGACTCACTTTTAACTTTTTAATTCGTTAAATTTTACTATATATATATATATACATATTTCAAAGGCAGAAAGTGACAGTCACTATATAATTTAAAAATTAAAAATTTTACTAATTCAGAATTAGATATAGTAATTTTTATTTTGGCATAACGCACGACAGCTTTTTTTAAAATTACAGGTTAAAGAGCTTAAACATAACCTTAAAATTAAGTCACATAAATCGCAAAGTTTGGTTTCGCAAGTAAAAATCGCAAGTAAATAACCATTTTTTGTTACGGTCAGCCCAAAAAATGGCGCTAATAATAAAGGTAGAGGCCCGGGGTTAAAATTTCCTAACTAAAGCGTTACGTATTTTATGAACATATATAGCCTCAAGGGGGGTAAAAAATGTATAAATATTTTCAAGATTTGATTCTTGAAATTTAAAGCAAAAAGCACAACTTAACCTCAAAAATCAAGAACTAAATTTTAGGGCTTAAATTTGAAGAATATACATATAATATCGTAAAAATCGAGTTAATAAGACTTGCACCAGGCTTTCATAGAAAAATAAACAATAAGTATAAATATATATAGTGATCAAGAAATTCCCATAAATATTGACATTATAGATTACATTCTCTGAAGGGGCAAGGACTCTAATAATAATAAATTTTCTAACCGCATATATCATCATCCGTAAATATATATATATATAATATAAAAGAGATGAAATTAGTGTTTCTTTTTATTTTAAAGTGCCAAAATTAACCATATACAATATAGTTTTACAGTCTTCAATATAAGTACTATAATATAATAATTATTATCTTTATTTGAATATAGTTTAGTATTGTAATTAGTACTCTCTAAATCTGAATCAGTAAATTTTTTAACTAATTTGAATTAGTGACTTTACCTTTCGCTTTTTAATATAATTAATATAGTATACAGAAGATTTTTTCTTACTATCGAATTTAGTATATATATACTAAATAAGTAATATTAATTAGTATACTAATTACTACTACTAATTACTAATTTAGTACTACTCTCTAAATCTGAATTAGTAAAAATGTTTACTAATTTGAATTAGTGACTTACTTTTTGCTTCTGAATTAGTAAAATTTTACTAATTATTAGTAACTTTTACTAACAATCAGTAAAATTTTACTAATTATTAGTAACTTTTACTAACAATTAGTAAAATTTTACTAATTTAGAAGCCAAAAATGAGTCACTAATTCCAATTAGTATATACATTTTTACTAATTCAGATTTAGAGAGTAATTCAAAGTCAGTCACTAATTCAGATTAAAATTTTTACTAATTTAAATTTTTAGAGAGTATACATATATACTAATTACAATACTAATTAATATAGAGTACAATATGGTACAGTAATTATTAATATAGTTATTAATAGTTAATATATTTTTTAAAAAAATTGCCAGAATTCACTATACTGGTGCGGTACTGGTACCAGTATTGGCACAACGCTGTGGCAGTAGTCAATTTCCGATTAGGTTATAATAATAATAATAATAATAGTTATAATGATCATAATAATATAATAGTTGTGATAATCATAATAATATAATAGTGATAATTATAACAATATAATAGTTATAATAATTATAGTAATATAAGTTATAATAATTATAATAATATATATAATAGGTTATATAAAAAAATAAAATTCGCATAATTATGTTAATGAACCTCCGTAAGGATAAAATAATCTCTTCTCCTTGATCTAAAACCTTGGTAGGAGGAGATGTTATATTCTCAATGATCATCAAACCAATCATCATCGTCATCATCGTCCATAAAAATCTCCTCAATATTCTCTTCCTTTGCGCGCGCGCGCATGCGGCATTTCCCGGAAATTTCTTGTATATTTGAATTTGCAAAAGAATTTATTTCTTTTCTCTCTCATTTTCCTTTGCAAATACTTCCTCTTTTATATATATATAAGAAAAGTTTTGGTCATATACAAAAGTATTAGTGCGGTTTTTGAAAAGCAATGCCATTAGAACATATAGAGATACATATAGACGCAAAGAAGAGGAAAATGTATATATGTATTTATCGTTGTCGTGACGCCATTGCTTTGCGCAACATTCTCATTGGTCGTTGAAATTACACTGCGAACCAATTTGGGGGGAAAATAAGGCGTTAGTAGGCGTGGCCATGGCTCCCTTTATTCACAATCCCACCTCTCTCTCTCTCTCTCTCTCTCTTTCTGTCTCTCTTTTTGCTCCTCTTACGATTTTCTCTCACAAGTTCACCAGCAACAGTGCTTGCAACATCCAGTATTATAGTTAAACTCTCTCTCTCTCTGATCCAAAAACATATAACTGTTATAAACCCAAAAAAAAAAACAGTGTTGTGATGTGTTTCAAGTGTGTGTAGTGTTTAAAAAAAAAAAATAATTTGGTGCAAGTGAAACTGTTTTTTTTTTTAACCCCCTTGGAAGTCCAAAGAGGACGTTCCAGAAATTTGTTTTTTTTTTAAGTACATAAACATTTAGCCAAAATGCTTACCTATAATTCATTGGCAATGTATCGTCAACAACAACAACAACAAACATTGTCACAAGTGCAACATTCAACACATAATGGACAACAGCATGGTGGTCCAGATGATGCTGTACAACAATATTGGTATGGTTATCCACATGGACATCATCAAAGTGCTGGTAGTGGACCACAACAATATTTAAATCCATCCGATGTATTGACATGGCCACATACACATCATTATTCACATTTACAATATCAACATCATCATCATCATCATCATCAAAGTTATCAACAACATCAACAACAACAATTAAATGGTATTAATAATGATTGGAGTGGTGATGAGGGTAATGGATCGTCGGCCGTCGGTGTACCAAGTGAACCAAGTCCACCGATAACAATTAGCGGAAGTGAAATTAGCAGTCCTGGTACACCAGCGACGCCACCAATTAATAATAATAGTGTTACGGCTATTAATAATAATAATAATAATGGATCGAGCACACCAGTAAGACCAGGACAAATACGCAGTCCTTATGAATGGATGAAGAAGCCTTCCTATCAAACGCAACCCAATCCTGGTGAGTTTTATTGGTTTTTTGTATTTTTAATTTTTGTTACGTTATTTCAGAATATTCTTAAGGGTATAGGTCAAAGATGGATGCAATTTTTACATAAGAGGTTCAATAAGAAAATAGCATCGATTTTGACCTTTCTTTGAACAAATAAAATATGCCAGCATTTTTGCCACATATGCTACAAATAAACTTGTAAAATATGATTCCTCTGTAGCTCATTTTGGAATCAATAATTTTTATGCATTTCGGAAATGCTGTATATTTTTTTCATAGGTCCTAAGCACAGAAAATTAAAAGGCTTTAAAATAAGCTGCAACGCTTATTATTTTAATCCAATTTTGCTTATTTTAATCGATTTTGGTATTAAAATAAGCAAAATTGGATTAAAATAATAAGCGTTGCAAGCTTATTTTAATGCCTTATAATTTTCTGTGAGAATATCAATCTTTTTGGTATAAAATTGCGTAATACGATATTTCTAACATATATATGAATTTTGGGTCATTTTTTCGAAGTATAGCGGAGAATTTTTGGTATATTTAAATGCATTGAATCCGTAAGGCATAAAAATTTTAATTAGTCATTAGATTTTAAATCAAAATTGTCGTTGGGAATTAAAAATTAAGAGCGCACACATGTACTTTCGGTTAAAAATTTGGTAGTACACAGACTCTTTTTAGGTCTGTGATTTAAAATCTACATTTTTTACCTAGATTTAAAATCTAGGTTCATTTCAATATGTTATTTGCCATATATGTAGAAAATTTAAATCTGGGTTGTATACTGTTTTTAAAATTCGGATAATTGTATATATTACTACTACATTCAAAATCTAAGTTGGAATTTTTATAATCTGGATTGTACTGTAATATATGTATTGTACAAAATTCAAAATTTGGGTTGTACTAATTTTACATCATTTGGGTTGTACTAATTTTACATCATTTGGGTTGTATTAATTTTACATCATTTGGGTTGTACTAATTTTACATCATTTGGGTTATACTCATTTTATATAATTTGGGTTGTACTACTCGTATAATTTGCAGATTCTAATAAATTTATGTTTTCACAGAAAATTAAAAGGCATTAAAATAAGCTGCAACGCTTATTATTTTAATCATATTTTGCTTATTTTAATCCATTTTGGTATTAAAATAAGCAAAATTGTATTAAAATAATAAGCGTTGCAGCTTATTTTAATGCCTTTTAATTTTCTGTGAGAATATCAATCTTTTTGGTATAAAATTGCGTACTACGATATTTCTAACATATATGAATTTTGGGTCATTTTTTCGAAGTATAGCGGAGAATTTTTGGTATATTTAAATGCATTGAATCCGTAAGGCATAAAAATTTTAATTAGTCGTTAGATTTTAAATCAAAATTGTCGTTGGGAATTAAAAATTAAGAGCGCACACATGTACTTTCGGTTAAAAATTTGGTAGTACACCGACTCTTTTCAAGTCTGTGATTAAAAATCTACATTTTTTACCTAGATTTAAAATCTAGGTTCATTTCAATATGTTATTTGCCATATATGTAGAAAATTTAAATCTGGGTTGTATACTGTTTTTAAAATTCGGATAATTGTATATACTACTACATTCAAAATCTAAGTTGGAATTTTTATAATCTGGATTGTACTGTAATATATGTATTGTACAAAATTCAAAATTTGGGTTGTACTAATTTTACATCATTTGGGTTGTACTAATTTTACATCATTTGGGTTGTACTAATTTTACATCATTTGGGTTATATTAATTTTACATAATTTGGGTTGTACTACTTGTATAATTTGCAGATTCTAATAAATTTATGTTTTCACAGAAAATTAATAGGCATTAAAATAAGCTGCAACGCTTATTATATTAGTCCAATTTTGCTTATTATAATCCATTTTGGCATTAAAATAAGCAAAATTGGATTAAAATAATAAGCGTTGCAGCTTATTTTAATACCTTATAATTTTCTGTGTTAGGTTATACATTATATACTAAATTTATGGTTTATGCTTTGGGCAAAAACAGAACAAGTTTACATAGATTTTACTTAATTCAATATTTTTTTTCAATGTACCATATATATCCGCAACTTTCCATTGATTATGAAAAAGTATAACACATATATTTCAAAATCTATATACTATTCGTAATAATATAATAGTTATATTAAATAGTAATTTAAAATCCATATATATACATATACAGTACAATACAGATTTTGTAGATTTTCTATATATATATATTTTTAAATACTTATCCAAATTCAACACATTTATAATTATTTAAATTATTAAACCAAAATATCTCAGTAAAAATTACATAAGAATTTTCACAAATATATGTTATTCAATTTGATATATGACGGAAAATGGACGCACACTACACTATAATCCAGATGTGCAAACTGTATTTACAATATACTGAATATTTATACCTGTTTTTATAATCCCTTGAATAAGTCAAAAGGGTTTTCTGTTAATCCTAAAGTCGAGTTGAACAATATAATGGTGTGCATTCAACTTGAGAATATAATTTTCTTATCTATTGACAAAATTTTAAACCAATGAGAGAAAAAGAGGTATATATTATAATCCATTTATTTACAGTGTTTGTGTCCTTAACATATTATTTGACAATGCTGTATAATATATATATATATAATAACGGGTCCTCAAATACCTATATTTGGTATATTTTATTAAAAATTAATTAAAATTTATTTTATTTATCTAATACTTTTTGTACTATCATCTAAAATAATAATAAAAAAAATTTCTGAAGAATTTAGTAAATTACAAAAAGAAAATTATGATGAGGTATTAAAATTCGTCATTTTTAATATTTTAGTATAACTTTTCAAAATTTTCTGCAAATTTTTCGTTGTTTTACATATAATCAAAGCATTTTATTGAACATAATTGCAAAATATATTTGTAACTTTATCTAAATTGAAATCTATAGTTAGAAACAAAATATATATAAACGGAGAGCCCTTCAAAGATGTAAGATATATTTAATTGATAAAATGTTGTCATTATGGTTCATCAGATATTTTTTGATTGATTTATAGAGATGCAAGAGCAGGTATTGGTTACAAAAATGAGGAACGTTATTCCATAACTGCGTCACATTATATTATGCAGTAACTGTTAACGAGTTTTTAATGGCTTACGCACCACTTTTCTTCGCAATTAGTTCTCTTTAGTACAGGTTATTGTTCGTATTTAATTGTTTTGTATCCCCTTCTTCTTTTTCTTCAAAAAAAAAAAAAAAAAAAAGGTTAATTGTAAAGGTCAATTTCATAAACTAATGCTTCAAAAATAAAACTCAACTTTTTCCATAACAACAATTGGATAGCATTTTACCATAGTTATACGGTTGCTATGGCAACTGTTGTTATAGTAACTCCATCTATATATCACTCAGAAAAAAATTCGTTTGAAGCAACCAAATTTTGGTTAAATCAACAAAATAAATGCAAATTGATATACAGTTAACCAAAAATTTGGTTGCATAAACCAAACGTTTATTTAGCTCAATAAAATTTTTTCTTTGTGCAAAAAATTTATTAAAATAAACCAAACAGTTATTTAGATCAAATATTTGGTCCAAACATATCTTTTTTCTGAGTGTAGCAACGGTTGCTATGGCAATCAAAAAAAGCATAGCAACCGTTGCTATGGTAACTTAAAAGTATCGTAGCAACCGTTGCTATGGTAACTTAAAAGTAACGTAACAACCGTTGCTATGGTAACTTAAAAGTATTGTAGCAACCGTTACTAGGGGTACGATTACTGTAGCAACAGTTGCTAAGGTAACCAATAGCACCCATAGCAACCGTTGCTATGGTAATATCGTGTTTTACTGCTAACCGTCACTACCATAGCAACACTTTGATCAAATACACGAAATCATTTAATGGAAAATATCCAAAAAAAAGAACCTGTTTACCTGTACTAAAAAAAATCATTTTTTTCTCTTTTTTTTGATATTTCGTATAAATATTAGCTAAAAATAATATTGCGCCATATATTATATATTTGCTTATTTTATAATCTGTTTAAATTTGACTTTTATATATATTGAAATCACTCAATATTTCGTTTGTATAATGATTTTACTCCATAAAAAAATATCTGATGATGGGTAAATGTTGCATTAATCTCATCTTAAATAATTAATCCCCGTGACCTGATTCCGTCACTTTTGTGTGAGGCACATGACGGTATAAATATATAAATACATATATATATATATATGTATTTCCTTGAGAAATACAAATTTCCAAAAATTTGTCTCTTGGAGATAATTTAATCTCATCTTTGGTGTCTGTGTGTTTGTTTTATTAATGTAATAAACACACACGCGACATTTAGACGAATTTTGCTTTTTTATTTTCCTTTGGAAGTTTTTTTTTTTTTTGTATATTTTTTCTGAAAAAAAAATTTTTTTTTTACTTTATTAGAAAGAAAGAAAAAAATTTATAATCTCTATGCGAAAAATTTCTTATCAAAAATTGTGTTTGAAAGAGGTTAAAGACATTATTATTATTATTATATATATATATACAAAAAAAAGTATATAAGGAACTGGCATTTATCGTGATATGCAATAAACGCGTCTTAACACGGTCCAGATATGGCACAGAATATGTAAACAAAGTATAACAGAGACGAACAAACATCTAATTACTCTCAAATATTTGTATAATCACGACACGGTCACCATAACCTCGATTTTCCTACAGATCTACTCTTTCGTTTTTATCCCCCTCCCGCTTTTTTTCCAAGTGAAAAAAAAATTAAATTTTCGTATTTTTTCCAATAATTATCAATGATAATATTATATAATATAATAATAATAATAATTAATAATTATAAATATATATTATACTCTCTAAATCTGAATTAGTAAAAATGTTTACTAATTTAAATTAGTGACTCACTTTTTGCTTCTGAATTAGTAAAATTTTACTAATTATTATTAGTAACTTTTACTAACAATTAGTAAAATTTAACTAATTTTAAAGCAAAAAGTGAGTCACTAATTTAAATTACTAAACATTTTTACTAATTCAGATTTAGAGAGTATATATAAATTATATTATAATATATAATTTAATTATAAAAAATTATTCTTTGTACACGAAAAATATATTTATACCTGGAACAACGATAAGTTTCGCTAATATAAGCGAAATGTTTAATTAAAACAGCAAAAGTTTTCGTTATTCTATACAGAAAAATATATCGCTGTTCCAGATAAAGATTTTTTTTTTCCGTGAAAAAAATTTACTATTTGAATTTTTTTTTTTTGATTTATTCTCTGCTCTAGAATATTTGTCGAGATTAATTATTTATATACAGAGAAAAAAGAAGTCCCTTTAAATTTTCCTTTGACCTTTACATTATACTATTTCAAACAATTTTTTTTGTTTGTTTGTTGCGTTCTCTATATATACATAATCCGTTTTTGAGAATAGAATTTAAATGCCACTTTTGAGAATATTCTCTGTGTATATATAAATATATATATATATATATATATTCAGAGCTTATGCGGAAATCTTGGCGATTTGAGTCTTTCTCTCGTGCAGGTACTGTGTAAAGAGAGAGAAGCAAAAAAAAAAGGAGGGATAGTTATTGTATGAGAGAGAAATAATCCGAAATGCCGGAAACTTGTTTCTTCAACATCGTGCTCTCTCTCTCTGTCTTTCTCTATCTATAGACATATTATGTGTATATATAGTAACGAAACAATGAAAAAAAAAATCCGACAAGTATCCCTATCTTTTTCTCTTATTGTTACAGCGTGCGAACTCAGTGCCTCAACTTCTGTCTCGTCACTTCATGACCTCTGCGCCATTGATGCTCTCGGTACGAACATAAAAAAAAAGACAAACAAAAAAAAAAATTCACCTGCATGTTTTTTTGTTTGTGAAACTTTTCTATTTTTTTTTAATAGAAAATTTTTTTTAGCCACATGATGTTAAATTTTCTTTAACATGCAATAATTGGGGCATTGTATTTTCACTTTGGAAAATAAAAATTTTAACCTCAGTTGGTTTGAAACTTTGGTAAATTATTGTCCCATTATTCTAAAATTTTAACATGAATCCTATGTATATGATTTTTAGTACAGCATCAGTGTAACAATTTAAAAATTTTTGCCAATGCCCCATTATTGTTGTTATTAAGCCCCTATGAATGTTATTTCTAAAGTAGAACCAAAATATTAGAAAAATGTTGCATGATTGTATGGCACGTTTAAATTTTTAATTCGTTATCGTTCGTAACATGTGATTTATATTTTTTATTTCCCTATAAATGCATTTATACTTTGTAATATTAAAAGTCTAGGAATTTTTTATTCAAATCGCATATCAAATATATAAAAATCACATTATAATCGCGCATACATCTGCAATTCCACGAAGGAGATATATTTGATTTAATGATCTCTCTTACCGTGCAGATTATATACATATAGCGTGCGAGCACGTTAGATATATTCTCATGGATTTTTTTTTTCACCCATTAAATTCCACGCCATTTTTCTTTTTCTTTAGTATATCCGTTGCTGTTGATGATGGTCTATATATATATTCGTTCTCTTCGTCTTTGCGTGCTGTGTGTGTGTGCGAGTTCCAAGATGGCGAACTAAAATTAACTTGTATATGGCGCGCCTTGAAGTCGTGGTTCTCACCCTTCTTTACCCGCACGTTTCGTGCGACCGACCCTCTCTCAATTCCTTTCAACGACTATATACACTATTATCTGCATTTTATGGTTTTATTGCCCGCGCTCTACGGCTATATATGCTTCTATAAAGCCTTTTTGGTTGCATGATTCAGAATACACATTACGATGATTCCGTGTGTGTGTGCGATTCTCTACCTTTTTTCTTGTATATTCACATTTTCTTCAAACTGTATTCAGTTCCGTGTATATGCTGTTGAAACACGCGATTTCTCCCGACGCCATTTTGGTATCCGGGGAAATATTCGATGTGTGGAAAAATAAGCAGGTGATGATGACAAAGAAACAGCAGATGATGACGAAAAATCAGGAGATGATGACAAAGTAGCAGATGATTGAGAAGAAAAAGTAGCAGCAGTAGATGATGATGAAGAAGCAGAAGATGGTCAAACAGAAGTTGCAGATGATGCAAAAAGAGCAGATGATTAAGAAGCAGCAGTAGATGATGAAATAGAAGCTTCAGATGATGCAAAAGCAGCAGATGATTAAGAAGCAGCAGTAGATGATGTAGAAGCTGCAGATGATGCAAAAGTAGCAGATGATTGAGAAGCAGCAGTAGATGTTGATGTAAAAGCAGAAGATGATAAAATAGTAGCTGCAAAAGTAGCAGGTGATTGAGAAGCAGCAGTAGATATTGGTGTAGAAGCAGAAGATGCTGCAAAAGTATCAGATGATAAAATAAAAGCAGCAAGTGATTAAGAAGCAGCAGAAGATGATAAAATAGTAGCTGCAGATGCTGCAAAAGTAGCAGATGATAAATAAAAGCAGCAAGTAATTAAGAAGCAGCAGTAGATGATATAGAAGCAGATTATGATGAAATACACCCAGTACAGCCCCTTTACGGATGATCTGCTTCGAGTGCTTCAATTAAATTTTTCCTTATACCATTTAGAAATAAATTGTCCACAACCTGTGAGTGACTCATTCACCCTAACCCGAGGTACAACCACGTGAAATAAAACCAATGGTTTTCGGTATATTATTTCAAAATCGAAACAAATAAAAGCAGGCCTAGGAGCGCATTTTACGTTGAAAAGGTACAAAATTTCCTTATGGCTCCCATAGTCTTGTAATTCATATTAGAAATGACACTTCCTCAAAAACTTCTCTGCGGGAAGTTATATATTCAAAATCTCTTTGAACACTCTGCTATTTTGACAACAATAAAATGCTAATTAGATGTAACCTGACCAGTTGGACGAGGGTTTCGCAATATTGACTTTCTGAGAAAAATATAGAAAAATGTCATATCTATCTATATATATAGATATAGCTTCTCTTATAATATATATAAATATAAAGGCACGAGAGCTGTCAACAATATATATATAAATCCATAATAATAATTTTTATACCTAAGGGTGAAAATAGAAGATAATCTCATAAGTCTCCGAAAAGTTCTCTTCTAAAAGTTTATTAACTTCTCAACGGGATAGGATAAAATTTTACTTTTAATTCCATTGTTTCATAGAGGAAAATATTGGTGTTTCAAAAATATACTGACAAATATTAGAAACAATAGTTCTTTTCAAAATTCTAGAAGAGATAAATTCTTGTATATATATACATTGTTGCGCACGATTTGTCGAATCTTAGGGTAATTTTTTTTGAGAATTTTTCCCCTCTTGTATACTTTTTGGTGTATGTGTATAATTTCACAGAAAATTAAAAGGTATTAAAATAAGCTGCAACGCTTATTATTTGAATCCAATTTTGCTTATTTTAATACCAAAATGGATTAAAATAAGCAAAATTGGAATAAAATAATAAGCGTTGCAGCTTATTTTAATGCCTTTTAATTTTCTGTGTTTCTCATTTGCTAATATATTTTTTCAACAATTTTCTAAATTGTTTTCGCAAAATAATATTTGCCAAATATTTGCTAATAAATATATAGATTTTGCCCAAAATTATAAAAAAGATATTGGCTCTTGATATAACAAAAAGATTGTAATATTCCGTCATGCTATATTTAGGTCCTAATTGCTCTTAATTAGTTTCTTTAAGAGATATAATTAACCTTCTTCTCGCATCATATTTCTAATAATGAGTCCTCGAAACTCCGTTGCTCACATAAATCTTAGTATTCGAAAGATCATCTTTTGGATTTTTGGAGAGTACAAAAATTCAGTTAAAGAGTTGTGTATATATAATTACACCCAATTGCATAAATTCTGTCCTTACGGTTTGACGGTATTTTTCGAAAAGGCGTGCGCTTGCGACTTTCATATAATAATTTTATTAGTGTCCTAATTTCACAGAAAATTAAAAGGCATTAAAATAAGCTGCAACGCTTATTATTTTAATCCAATTTTGCTTATTTTAATACCAAAATGGATTAAAATAAGCAAAATTGGGTTAAAATAATAAGCGTTGTATTTTAATGCCTTTTAATTTTCTGTGTAATTGATTACACCAAAATTAATAAAATTGTTATAGAAGTATATCACGACTTTTCAAAAATTCCGTCAAACCAGACGTGTACAGCATTTATGCGCAATTATGTATTATGTACCAAACAATTTGGAATTAGAAGTCAACTATAAAGAAGCCAAATTTTGGAATTTAAAAGGTGTTTTTTCTTACGATTTTATATTATATAAAATTTTCAGGCTATATGAACTAAAACTGTAACACAATAGATTTTTAAAATTTTTCGAGATTTCGAAACAGATTACATAATCTTTCGTTTCAGGGTCAGAAAGGAATTTTTGAGCAAATTTTTCTTACAGGTGCGTTTAAAAGCATTTTTTTTTTCTTCGTTGCCTTATTCTTGTGTATACACACTTGTGTTTGAAAATCCCTTGGGTCTTCATTCGATGTCTATATTCTACCTTCTTTTCGCCTATATATATATATATATATATATGTGTATGTATATGTATGTATGTATATGTGAACAGTCAAATAGTGTTTGTATATCCCTCGTTGTGTGTACAATTATTGTCTTGGAAGGAGCAAGAGCAGCAGAAGCAGCTTAAGCTCTCCAATAAAGTTTGTTGACCGCCCTTGGCTAGCCGCCATAAAAGTTCAAAGTGGCTCCCGATTGCACGCTTATTGTTCCTGATTTTCGCGCTGGAAAATTCCTCTCACTCTCTTATAATATAGATATATTTTTTTTTTTTCTAGTAGGTTCTTCATCTCTTTCCATTATTTAATAAAAGTAAATTATTATTAATTTTAAATTGATATTTACCTATACAATTCTTTTCCGTATTTTTACAAAGTTAATTTTTTTTACGTTTAATCATGAACATAACCTCAAAACTTATGCTAGCACAGAAAATTAAAAGGCATTAAAATAAGCTGCAACGCTTATTATTTTAATTCAATTTTGCTTATTTTAATCCATTTTGGTATTAAAATAAGCAAAATTGAATTAAAATAATAAGAGTTGCAGCTTATTTTAATACCTTTTAATGTGTTAAAGAAACAAAAATATATCGTTCCTTAAGCTTTAAATTGTATATATATATATAACTTAAGTTTTGAGGTTATCTTCATAATTTTTTGGCCGTATAAATGACATAACCTCTAAATATTGTCAATTTCGTTACAAACTTGGAAAAAAAATAACCTAAAAAAATATACTTTTGAAAGAATTAGGAAAAAATTATTTTTTTTTAAATTAAAATTTGAGTTTTTCAATCAAAATTTGTCAAAAAAATATGTTTTTTATCTAAAGGTGATGATGAATCAGCATTTTATTTATGACTTTTAAATGTATGAATCATTCTGTAAATGTTCAACAAATTTTATAGATGGTATTAATAATTATTTCATAAATATATGTATTATGCTTTGTAAATAGTATTAATTGTTCCGTCAATGGTATTTTTATTATAATCATTATCATCATCATCATTAGTATTATTATTATTATTTGCTAATAATATATCAAATTTTGTCGATAAATAAATGATTTGTCACTAATTTTTATTTGGCTAAAAGTGACTAATATTCAAATAAATATACTCAAAGTTAAAAATTAGAGGTTATGTCCGCTTATAAGTCCAATGCAACTGTTATTCGATATATCGATTGATAGCAGGATTCTGATTGGTCCGTTCTTAGAAAAATAGTTTCCCTATATTCATAATTCTTAAAATTCAATTCGT